TGAGACTTCTGGCGTATTTCGCCGAACATAACTGATTAGAATATACAATAAAAACAAAAACGACTGAATGTAAATCAGTTTATATATTCATTCATATTACATTGTTATATGCGTTGCGCCCCTTTGTGTCAATTTCTAGGTCCCAAATATTTGCCATTTAGCTCCTTTAAAGAGCACGACTTTTCTTTTGGGTCAATTTTATTATTATCGATATCTGATTACATCACATGTAATTTGTGGGCAGGCAGAGGGAAATAATTGGAAAATAATCATGTTCTTTATATACAAAATATTTCGATCAATATGCACAAGGCTAAATATTCATCAAGGGCGATAGCCCTGTCAAAACGTTTATGGCACTGCGGAATATAAATCGGGTACAAGATTCCACCAAGACAACGCCATATGGAGCTAAATCAGCCAAGAATGGGGCTTAATCGACATGTGTCACAATATGGAACACAGCAAGTGCTAACAATATCGCTATGTGGAACAATGTCTGAATGTTCGAAGAATTTCTTTTTTTTACAAAAGTACGCCCTGTAGCGTCTTTACAAGGTGGGGGGGGGGGGGATGGCTGAATGGTTAGCGTGCGCGCGCTGTATCATAAAGTCTGTCATTGAGTCGACTGGCGTGGTTTCGAATCCCCGGTTGTACGTGGCAAGGAGTAGGGTCGCCTGTCCAACCTCGTGGGTTTTCTCCGGCGCTTCCGGTTTCCTCCCATTGCTAAAGACCCCTACGCGCAAGCGAATTATGTAAATAAAATTAAACCAAATGTTAGTCCCGAAATGACCTAGTTTGTGTCGAGTGGACGTTAAACCCACATTTCTCTCTCTCTCTATCGCGTTTTTACAAGATAAATAGTTACAAGGGCCGTTACTCCATGAACTTTCAAAGTATGCCTCTGAAATTAAATAAGGTTTTGTTAGACTTTGAGCTGAACAGGTCCCCGAAGTTTGGAAAGCTTATCCCAAACACTCTGACCTGCACCATGATTATTGTAGTCATGATATTTGGACCAGACCTGAGCTTCTAGAGGAAATATCAATCTGTCCTAGCAAAACTCTGTAATCTCGATATATAAAATCACTTGTTTCTAGACGAAGTTGCGATATACTCCCAACTCGTCAGTGTCCGCAGATATACGATATACTCCCAACTCACCAGTGTCGGCAGATATACAAATCCAACAAATAACAGCCGTGAATCATATCCAAAAAGATGAATCGAATTAATTCCTTATCTTTCTTATTGTCTTCGAACATCCCTTCCTCTTTTAATGTATGAAAAAAAATCTATCTAAAATTCCATGTGATTCCAGCATAAAAAGCTCTACTAACATTCTATTCGTTGATTTGCTGTATATCTTCAATATATAAATCTTTCTTCGGGCTCGTCTTATTTATGGTCACCAAACATCGCCAATTTCTGTACCTCGGTCGCATCTCATGTATTCTGGAAATTCAACTGATTCTATAAAATAACCGACAATAACTTTTGGATCACTGACTGTCCAATTTCCCAGATAAGCACCAAAGCGTCCATTTTAAGGGAAAATACCGTATCTTGAACGATACTTAGTATCCCACAGGCTCGATATAATTATCTGGGCCGTTCAATTTAATTATCTCGATCGAGCGCTCGACTTTGTATCTCGAGTGGTAGACTTGATGCGCTCGAGAAAAAATATATTTTTGGCAAGTGCTAAACCAGTCACCGTATAGGAAGCTTACTCAAAACATTTTTGTAATAAAAAGGTAAAATGGGATGTTAAAACTCCAATTTTGTTTCAAACGCTTTTATGAACTCATCACCGTTATACAGAGTTGAATACATTTTTGGTGCGAAAAGGTTCGTTCGATACAGGTTGGGGATGTTGATAACTTGTCCTGGATCAGTGTCGGACAAAAGCAATAATTATAACTCCGTGGAAGCCTAATGATGCTTGATTCTCACTAGAGCGGAGACGGTAAGTTTACCGAGACTGGAGACGGTATGCTCCTGATATACAGTTATAGTTGCGTTATCAAAGACAAATCTAAGGGGGATAATATTTATTGGCAATAATGGTCACGGCTCAATAGTACATTTTAATATATAAGCAGCAAAACAACGTCAGGTTGGTATGTTACACTGAATAGACGCATCGCATAAAACTTGCCAAATGTTTTTATTGTAGCCTATATTTGTGACCACATCTCCAACTTTACCTGAGCAATAAGGCTCCTTCCCAAACACAGAATTGAACCAAGGAAATGTTCACTACCTGACTTCTGAGATGGCAATGTGTTCTCCGTGATTTGCATGTAACTCATGCTGCACGTGCTGTTTGCCAGCCCTATAAAATGCACCCCCATACCTGGTTGAATCAGTCACACTACAACGTCAGCATGCCACGACTCAAGACAGCTCAGAGGAACCAGGCGCTTGGAAGACTCGACGCTGGCCACACTGACCAACTTTACCTGAGCAATAAGGCTCCTTCCCAAACACAGAATTGAACCCAGGATATTTTTTACAAAAACGCAACCTGACTTCTGAGATGGCAATGTGTTCTCCGTGATTTTCATGTAACTCATGCTGCACGTGCTGTTTGCCAGCCCTATAAAATGCACCCCCATACCTGGTTGAATCAGTCACACTACAACGTCAGCATGCCACGACTCAAGACAGCTCAGAGGAACCAGGCGCTTGGAAGACTCGACGCTGGCCACACTGTCCAGAACTAGTGACACAGGCAATGGAGAACTGTTCTGTTCACAGATGAGAGTCGGTATTGCGAATCGACTGCAGATGGCAGGACCAGAATATGGCGTCGATGTTGCCAGCGTTATTCTGACCAATGTGTCATGGAACGAGACTCACGGGCAGGTCCAAGCATAATGGTTTGGGTTGGAATCGGCCTGAACCAGAGAGTGATTCCTGCGGTGTTCCAAAATCTTGGTCCAGGGAGAGGAGGCGGCATCACAGCAGTGCGCTACATCGATCAAACTCTCAGAACCCACGTCATACCACATTTTGCACGTTATTGAAACAACGTTTTCCAGCATGACAACGCCCTTGTCCACACCACCAGAGTTACTCGGGACTTTCTACAGCAGAACGGTGCCAACGTTATGCACTGGCCAGCCCTTAGTCCGGACTTAAACCCGATTGAACATCTCTGGGGTGAAATTCAGAGGAGACTTAATAACGTCGTACCGAGACCAAACACAGCCGATGGATTGCGCCAAGCTTTTGTGAGAGTGTGGTTCCGGGTGCCATTGGCGTTCATCAATCGTCTGGTCCACTCCATGTACAGACGATGCGCTGCTGTTATTGACACTTGCAGTGGAAACACCAGATACAGATGTATAGACTGTGTACAGACTCTAAACCTTCTCGTAATGTCTTTGAATTGTGATGAATTAATCACTAATGTGTCCTATACTGGGCTAATGAAGACGGGCATACACCATACAGTGTGCGATGAGGGAAATTTTGCCCGGGCAGCGGCACTATCACCTACTCTTAATTCGAATTCCATCTGCCAAGGGATCTTTTACGGGCATTCCAATGTATACACGGGACCTCTGGTTTTTTTTTCGTATCATCCGAAGGACTAGACAGCTGTCCTTGTCAGGCCCTCCGTTCTGCACCACTGACAAGGGGAAACCACGTCGGAAAATCAGGATGAACTTTCTCGGCCAAAGCAGGGATCGAACACCCGACCTCCAGGCTAGCGAGCCGGCGTCTTAACCACCTAGCCACTGTGGCTCCCTTGTATATAAGAAAGAGCGGGGTTAACTTTCCCTTTAGACATTATTTGGAGTTCGTAGTAAGACATTATAGAGCGGTCCTTGAGGGACGTTTAGCCTCCTCTGCTTGACCGGGATTCAGACAGCATGCGCGTTTCTTAGAAGAACGTTGGCCCCCTCCCAGTCTCTGGTTCGAGGCTGGGGTAGAGACAATATGTAGAGTTTCTGCAGTTAGGTGTGTGTTCTAGGCTTGTTAAACTCCGACTGTAGATATTATAATAACTCACAACGCACTATCTTAGATGTTGTATTTCATATATAGCCTAAACATACTTATAAAAACAAGGTGTTCCGGAGTTCATTTGATCATCGAAGTTTTATACCCAACATGCTGGAAGTCATGAGTTAATTCATCTATTTAAAAAAGTACACAGCGTGAAAGTCCTACCGAGACACAGGATAGTGTCACATGGGAAGCAGAATTCAGACTAAGATATCTAATGTCGTCGAGAATATTTGCAGCTGAGTATGCCATCTTTTTTTATAATCCAATAAAAACGCCTTAAACGACAACACAAAGAAAGTATCCTTTGCATTTGGGAGGGAGGTTGGTTTTAACAGCGTTTTATCGAAATTGGTGGTTATTTAAATTGGTAAACGAGAAAACGTCTCTAGCATAAGCTTCGTCTTGGTAAATATTAAAGAATTGGTAAAAGAGAAACTTGTCTGGTAATTATTAAAAGCTTATAAAAGAGAAAATTGTCTGGCATATACTTCGGCAAACAAAATGACCGCAACCATGTCATTTAATTACCGTAAATACGCTAAAATTCAACGCTTTGATAAGGAACTTTAATAGAAAAGCTAATCTTGAAAGCATAATATAGCCACCGAATACAGCAACGCAGCATGTGCGTGCCTCCAATAGAGTTTGTTGTCGAGTTGTTCATGATGATAATGATGATCTAAAAAGGTAGGTTGCCCAGTAAAAAACTAAACCAAACGACTTCAGCAGCTAAGGTTGACTCATTGTTCTTTTTTTGCACTCAATAGAAGCATTGACAAGGCACAAAAAGAAGGGCTAGGCATGTGATCCTACTCGTTGTCACATGCAATTTTTGGTATCGAAACCAGGTGTCTTGACTCAATGGCAGATAATATAGTTCGAGCACCCTCAAACTGTGAATGACAGATGAACAGATAGAGGTGACAACAATATACAACCACATTTAAATTTAACGTATATAAAAATGGAGACCAATCAACTTTACTGTACATTTTTATTACATCAGAGGAATATAAGTATAGCTTGAAAACTAATAAATAAAACATGAACAATGTTACTTTTAAACATCAAATACATGTCTTTTATATATATGAAACATTTAAAACATATATGCTTCTTCAACCATCTTTTCAACTAATAGCACATATTTTATCCTGCTTTCAGATTACAACTTCCTATTAGCTCATAGCCATTGATATATTATGCTATTGGTTATAAAGAGCTTAAATAAAACATGGTGCTCAGAAACAAAATGGTAGATACAAGATTGAATTTGAGCAATTGAGAAAGAGCATTAACAGGTACTGTTAGTTAGCTAGTCCAAAAAAAATCTACCATAAAATGTTATTTCTATTTTCAAATAATTTAAAACACAAAAGCAGAAAATTATGCAAATTGGGATAATCCTTCTAGAATTGATTCCCTTTATGAGATCTGTAGTATTATTATAAGAGATTTGTTGGGGTTTTTTTTTTTTAATGTAATATCGGATTCTAAGTATAACATTACCCTGAAACATTTAAGATGACTCTTAGTATACCTACTCTGATTTACAGATGATGACCATAATATGTCATAATAGAACCATAATATGTCATAATAGAACCATAATATATCATAATATATTGTAGGAAATAATCAGTCCTACTGTTAACAGCACCATTAGTCTCGAACATGTTAGTAATGAAGAATTAAGAAAACTAGAATTAAATGAAAATTTCTAGAAGTACTGAGTTCAATTTTTATGCTAATATTATTTTAAAGTGATTCTATAACAAAAACAATTCTCTAAATTTGTTCCTTGTCTAATCCATCATACTATTTTTTTTAAAAAATCAACAATTTTTTTTGATCATAAAATATAACTTCACGAACTCGTAGCTGGCTGGGCTTCTTCCTGAAAAAATGAGTAATGGTAACGCACACTGGCATTAGAAGACAATGGGAATAAGTAATAATGTACATATATCAATCATGATTATTAATACTTTTAAGTGGAACTTTATTACCGTTAAACAAGGATGCTATTATTATTATTATTATTACCAAACTATAGTATGCTAATTTGTGGTCATTCATAATGGGTGTGGCAGTTTATTTATGTATTTACTTACTTTGAACTAAGCCAAAATGGAGAATAATTTGTACTATGATACATAATCTAAACTTCTAATAAATTAGCACCACTTAATATTTTGTTTAAAAGTGTCACCTATTTATAAATCACAGATCAGCAGTGGTGAGATTCAATGCATTAATAAGTCATCTATATCATATTTAAATAAAATTCAGTAAATTATGGGATTTCTGATTTAAGCCATTATTCAGTTCCATTTAAATCCAAGTGCAGATGGGGTAGCATTCTACAAAAGGCTTTGACTACACAGCATATTTTCTAATTATTCAGCGCATGTTTAAAGCAAAAGTTACAAGAAGGGTCTGAAGCCAATCAAGGCTTAAAAAATAAAGAGATTCTTTTTATAGAAAAAAATAAACAATACATGAAAGTGAAATATTAACAATACATAAACAAACATATAATAATAAAATTCTGTAGTATTTATAACTAGCCCCAATCAGTGGCTTTAATAAAGATAATTTAAAACTATCATGTAATCTAAAGTAAAGAAGCTTTGATTTTATCGAGTATTAAAATAAAAAGATCTGTACCATTATAAATAAAAAAATAATATTATACACAGTAAATTACCCTATCTCTAAATATAAATTATGCTTAAACCCCCAAAATGCCAGAATACAGACAATCCACAATCAAATGTACTTCTATTGAAAAACATTTTGATCCCAAAATTATTCAAATCGATTGATTCAAACTCAAGTCTCTGTGTGTCATTTGGAATTTTCAAAATTTTTTAAATTTAATCAAATCAAAATATCAACAGTAGATTATCTCCAAGTCTGGTTTCATTCGGATGAAAAATACGATCATCACTGACGGTGCTGTTTTTTTTTATCATCATCAGCAGTTCTGTTTATATCATCAGCAGAGTATTCCGAATAGTGATAAATTTTCAATTCATCAACAGAACTTGACCATTATTGGACTGATACTCACAAATTTCATAATAATAATTGTGACTTTTGAAATATATATGAATGATCTGGCTTGTGCCTTTTAGTATATTCAGCATCTTTGCTTTACCACTTTTCGTTTGAGAGAATAGAGCAAGTATACTAGCATATTAATCTTCCTCTAGGCGATTGTTAAGTAACAGCTGTGATTGACATGTTGTGGAAATTTATCACATTATTTTAAACATTACAATATAAGAATTTTTCTTTCAAAGTAAAAACATCAAAAGTTGTATAGTAAGATCTTAATATTATTTCAAGCATTTTTCAAAGCTTTTTTTTTTATCCTTCATTTTCAACAATTCAGTTTTCTAGCAATAATAAAGATTTAAACCCAACAAAAATATATTTTGAAACAGTCAGAGAATAAGAGTGATTATTTTAAGGAATTAATAAAAATGAGGTCAGTGTTGGTTAGGTTTAAAACCCTGTGAACAATAAAAGTCATTTCCGCACAAATAATAGTTAGTACATATAATATCAATAAATTAACAAATTCATTGACCTATAAAACAAGTGTGATCTATATTTTGCTTTCAAATCTAGGTTACATGATATTCTTAAATTAAAAATCTACTGTCGGATGTTAATGAACTAAATCAATAAAAAGAAAAATAGAAAGAATTCCTTTGTAAAATTGTGACAATATTATATTTTTTGGTGCCAGCATATATTACATATTTCCTTCGTTATCATGTGTACATTCCGACAGTAGATTTAATATAAACATTTAAAATAACAAGAAACAATATTTATCTTTTAATAAATAGTATGTGGTAAAATAGACATATTCCCTCATTATACAGTATTATCATAGAGTATTTGGTAGAATATAGCACTATGTACAATATCTGAAGTGTCGTTTAATTATAATAATAGTATATATATAACATACAAGTCAATACTGGTATAAGTAATAATAGTGGTAGTTTAAGTGTTTTAATATACAAATTAACCTTAATAGAAAACTATTCATTCTCAAATAAGTTATTTGTAATTAATTCAAAATACAGTACAGTGTTTTCACTAATAGACTGTTTGGAATTCCAAACATCTTACATTGAGGTTCTTTAACCAAATAACATTTAACTTTATGGCCGCTTTGGCTCTCAAAATTCACTTATCAGGGGAAATAACTTTTTTCAAAAATTCTACTATTCTTTTAAATACTTTCCATCTCAAAATAGAATTCAATTCCATTCTTAAAGTCTTTAAAAAAAAAAATGACATCCACACATTCTTTCAATCCAAACAATACAATTGTTTAACATGAGAATCTTCCCTTGAACATCCAGGCAAATGTTAATGAATAGTGTCAAGGCAATTAATTAACTCTGTAACATACACATGGAAAATGCCCCTATTTCTTTTAATGCCACTTGTACCTTTCTTTCCACTACACATCTAAAATAAACAGTTTTATATTTATGCAATAACAAATTTATCAGCTTATTATTAATAATAGATATTGATTTTCAAAAGTTCAACACTATTATATAATAATAATATAGCAATTTATGTCCGGAAATTATGACAAATATCGTATTAGGAGCAACTTGAACCTCACATTATAACATCTATGATAGCAGTTTAACAATTAAAATATAGAAAGTTGTGGGGAGGAGTTTATTTATATGATGATAATGACAACATGAAGAGGAGTTTTAGTATATAATACACACAGTGTAAGGAAATATATATCTAATATAGGTTATAATTGTATTATAGCCACCACTAATTTCAATATATAGATCTATGTGGTACTACATATTATATAATTAATGTACATATAGAGAAATATAAATTAAACGTTTCTGTACATATTCAGGTAAAATACTTGTGATGGCATTAAAATGAGACCTTATCCATTCATTATAACTTATATTAATTAAGATAAAATGTCCACATAACAAATGTTTTCAGTCACTGTACACAATAAAATAATATTCTCCCAGTCAAATTTGTGACTAAAAACCATTATATCTATATATATAATATTTATAATAGAGATAATAATAGGTCAAACGGTCAAGACTAATTACACTATAATTTATGTACATGTACATTAGGCTATTATGAAAACTTAAAGGTAGGGTTTCACTAAATAAACTTTTATTCATGTACAGATTTCTCCAAATTCAAGTGGAAATTTATACAATTGACTTTATACACAATCTCTTCTCTTTCAATTAATACATTTACCAGATGGTTTGAGCAAGGTCAAGGTCAGATCAAGACTTCCCATGATATCAGTTAAGTTTTGAGGTATATCATTGTTTAAAAAGCTAATATTGTTATTCCTTTTAATATTCCATCATATTCAATTTTAATGTATTGCTCAACTTTTTTTCTACCGCAAAAATAAATATGAACAAACACAAGATGAAAATACTTAACAACAATTAATGACTTCAATATAATGACTTCAAAGTGGACATACACACATAAAAAAAAAATCAAAATTTCTTACATTTAACAAACTGACGTAAAACTAAAGCAAAACACTTGGCTGTGGCAACAATATAACAATGGGGAAAAAAAGGAGAAGATAACACACAGCAAATTCTGAACACATATTTCCAATGACAAGGAAAAACCATTGTTTATTAGCTTAGATTGAAGATTATGGGGGAGATCTGACTGACACAATCACCGATCAGTGGTAGTAATGTAAACAGCACAAGGTTCTCAGGGTTCATCTCTTCTATGACCAGGTTTATCTGATGATTGCCCAGCATCACTTGTTGTTTCCAAAGATGATGATGATTTGGCGGATACAACCTTAGCTGATGGCGGCGGAGACTCAGACTCTTCTTTAATTGGTTCCATCTCAGATTTATCAGAGACCACATCCTGGAATGAAAATGAACAATTATCAACCTCAGATATTGACTGTTTGTTACATTTGCCATCTACATACCATTACAGCTTCCTTAATACACGTATTAATAATTTTTAATCTTAAAGTACAGATTTTGATGGTAATGGTGACATACAATTTATGCATATGACCTTTGGTAGATTAATAAAGCCATCATAAAAATAAAATGTATCCGTCAATCCGTGAGGGGTTTAAAAGCATGGATTGACACCACATCTAATACTGATAATCTGAATAATATTGACTTGTATGAAATAATATCTACATTAAATTATTACCAGCATAATATTAATATTTAAATTTAAAATGACCAGTGGTCAATTCAATTTCATTCAGACATTTCTCTTGTGATAGATGTTTTTTAACAATAACATACAGTGGTCAATTCAAATTCATTCAGTCGATATGGAATTGAAATTAGACATTTCTATTGTGATAGATGGTTTTTTTTTCACAATAACATACATAGCAATAGTTTCATGTTTTACAGAATTATATTCATTTCCTGATATGATGCATTTCAACACAATGTATATGGGACGGTACCCCGATTACACCAGCATGTGATTAAACACTTTTAAACACATGACATTTTAGGGTCACCCTGTGGTGTTTTTAAAGTGAATAATTTGACTGTTGACCTATGGGCTCTTCCTTTTCATTTCTATACTGAACAACACAGAATCATATTAAATTCAATAACATTCAAAATCTTACTACCGGTATATAAAATATACATATTGTTTAATTAAAACTATAAAAACAAAACAAAAAAAGTCCCTAAAAGACATAAACTATTAGAAAAATTCATGCATACATTCTCTAACATTCAAAAGAAATAAAAACTTAAAAGTAGTAGATAATTAGTTAGTCTTCAATTTGTAATTAAGTACCAAAATAAACAAACATATGCATCTTATATTATATTATTAGTCATTGCATTTCATAATATAACCATTTGAGAGAGACAGTATAATTTAAATGTGTGTAATAAGAAACAAAATCCTCGAAATATGAAAGTAAAAGATTGCACATACTTGTCCTACAATTCATCTACGCACTGGTATTGTATATTTTCAATAAATTTTAGATCATTCTTATTAAAATTAAATTTCGGTAAAACAAGGTCATCTATTATTATAAGGTCTATGTACTGGGTACATATATACCATCTTATTTTTTTTCTCAAACCATATTTTTGTTTTAATAACGACCTGTGTAATTACCTAATGGGAACTGGACTTAGAAAGGTTGTTCTAAGCTTTAAAAAATATGAGTCAAAAGCAACACATTGTGTGATGAGTAATATTAGGAATGTTTGATCTTATTGATGGGATATTATTACAGTTTCCTGTTAACCATTTCATTGAAGCATGATCTTCAAGCAACGAAATCACCACCATATAATAAAACACTGATAGCAAAGTGAAACACATAATACGGTACTAATTTATTGTGAATAGACTACAGACTAGATTCTATATGATGTACTGTGAAATATACACATAAGTACATTTACCTACATTCACAATTATAACCTAAGAAATAGACAATATTTGATTAATTTTCAATTTCACACAATAATAATAATATAGAAGAAATTTAAAGATACATTATGGGAGATTAGATAAAGAGCTGGCAGTTCTCACTATAATAGTTAGAAACTAGATAATGTAAAGGGAATTTGCTGAAAATGTCAGTCAAATTGATCTGAACTGAGAATTTAGTGATTGAATTTTTGGCCTAGCCTCGATCATCATAACTAAAGTCGGTACGATAAAAAAAAAACAGTCTCGATTATCCATTTCATGATTTAATGAAAGTTGAGCAGCAAATCGGATCCTAATCCAGTAAATATCGTAAGCTAGCGATGACATCAAGAATTTATTATGGTCTGGATAAGTTAATTAATGTCTAATTAATGATTTAGATAACATTTCAGGCCTAAAGAAAGACGTGCAATTGGCAGATTTAGCGTTTGCATAATGTATGTTTAATGGTTGATATTGTATCAAGTTTTTATAATTATTATGATCATATGAACGAACACAACAGTAACATGTTTTAATATGCTTGTTATTTATTAGAAGCCTAATGATTTACATGACACCATCACAGTCAAGCTACCTTGATTTTAACACAAGTCCAAAGTAATAGCCACCATATCTGAAGAAGGGCCAGGTCTAAGTTTGTTTTTTTCTCTGTCCAGATGGCATTTCTATTGCAAACTATAGCAACAAGAATATGGTCGAACCACAGACCATGTACACAAGAGAATGAGATATTCGATACTGCACATTTATCAGTAGTTAAACATACTTAGACATGGCCCTGATGGAAGAAATCAACTCCCTCTATGGACAGTGTTTAAGAAGCTTAGTTTAAAATAAAAAATACAACTTCCCTCACCATTTTACAATCTTTCTCAATTCCAAAGAACAAAGACAAATGATGAGCAGGCAAAAAAAGAAAATTTTTTCTCACCAAATGCTATTCAGTATCTAGCTACTGTTTAACGGCATGCAATTCTGTTCATAAAAAAAATGCATGCAATGTATAAAAAAAAAAGTAATTCAAGGAATATTTCATCTTATTTATTTCTAACTCGGATCAATTGCATTTTTTCTTCTTTTAATCATAATTTTCATTTTGTATGGTAGTTCAAATATTATTATAACCTAAAACAGAAATAGACGATCAATTTTGGACTTGCACTCTGCGATACTTATATTATTGTCAATAAAATAATAAATATATAAGACAGACTATTGATTAAGTGTACACATGTATATCAATACAGGTCATAACAAACAAGACCTTTTCATTTCATGTACCATATGTGTTTTTATTATTAGTAACTGAAACCCAATACAAACTTCCAGAAATGCCCTCAAGGGAAATAACTCTCTTAACAATTGCCATATGTCTGAAGAAATTTTCCATACTTTGGAAACCAAGTTTTCTACAATAAATACCTGCTTACTTGACAATAAATCTATACCTCATGAAATTAAAGCAAACCAAATTGGATTGAATCAAATGAAAATTGTAGAGTTATATTTCTAAAGGTGGGGTGGGTAAGTGGGTGTAATTGCTTTTCTGCAATTTTAACAATGGAATTATCACTTCAATATCTCTTGCCTATTTCTATGATGAAACAAAAATATTGGTTGCTATCTTCTTAATCAGTTTATTATTTTCTTGCTGTGAACAGGATTTTTTCTGACAGATGTTATCAACATACTAATTTCACCATAGTGTTATTTTCTTGTTTTTACGTATTTAAGTGGATATCGAAAGATAGACTTTCCTATGATACCATTATGAATACGACTAATTGTTAAATTAAAGGAAGTTGATTTAAATTCATAATGAATCATAAGAATAACATTTATCTATGCTTCTGTTAAAATAATGGGAAGGGAGATAATTTGTTAAGTACCAGGTAATTGTGTAATCTAGCTGCTTGTTTGTTAACTTTTAACAAGATGGTAATATCTCGAAAAATCAATAATTTAGGAGCTCATATTTTCCCCTTTTCTATTTGAAAGATAAGGATTGAATTGAACATAACAGAATATGGCCTAATAGAAATGACATGATAGTGATACTATAGCCTTAATGACTTCCTTTCATACGAGACTATCATTTTAATTTAAAGATGCATTATGTGTAATTAGATAAAGAGATGGCAGTTCTCATTATAATAGTTAAAAACTAGATAATGTAAAGGGAATTTGCTGAAAATTTCAATCAAATTGATCCACTCTGAACCAACATTTTAGCGATTGAATTTTTGGCCTAGCCTCGATCATCAATACTAAAGTCGGTACAATAAAAAACATAGTCTTGATTATCCATTTTATGATTAAATCTTGAATGGAAGTCGAACAGGAAATCGAAACCTGACATCGGGAGTTGATTATGGTCTGGATGAGTTAATTAATATCTAATTAATAATTTAGATAACATTTCAGGCCTAAAGAAAGACCTGCAATAGGCAGATTTAGCGCTTGCATAATGTATGTTTAAGTAGCCTACAGAGTTCAATAAGAACAGACATGTGTTAACTTGAAGGGTGTAACTATATATATGCAAAGATTATTACAAACCAAAGCAACAATATGTTTATAAAATTACGGAAGCTGCCCATATATATATGCACTGACATTATATTCTGAAATCAGCATCAAGTTTCATTCTCGCCTTTGATAATTGAGCTGTACGAAATGTATGTTTGATCTTATGGAAGACATTTAGAGAAAAGTCTAAAACATGCCAAACTGAAAAGTGAACATATCTATAAACTGTACCTATATAACCCATCTATATGTTGAACTAACTCAACTACAAAGTTCACCTGTTTAAGCTATAATAACACACCAATCTATTCTAATAAGTCCTACATACACACACTTCTTTATTTATTTCTAATATAATTATCAATTAATTGGGTTTATTTCTTCTAAAATAATGAGATACAAGACAAAATTTTACCAAAATATGAGTCGATTTCAGAAATTGAAGGTTGTAATTATTTTTAGAGAAAATATCCATTAATACGGCTTCCAAATAATGCCAAATGTGAAAAGGATATTTTATGCAAATTCAATAATATACATTGCCGGTTAATTACCTGTTAATGTATGTGTATGAAAGTTTTTTTTTTATTTTTATGGATATAATTTTACAATACTCAAGATTTCTAGTCAGTTTAAATGAAATTTGAATAAATATATATTTTGGGATTTTAATAAATTTGCTTACTACATTTTGTGTGAATGATGCTTATATCCAATTTTCTTTTTAATATCTGTAAAATGCTGCAAAAATGGATTATTTTAAAAACTGAGAGTAATCTAAGTTATTTCACTGTTGTTTTACATACAAGTTAGGGAAAACAAGTTTATTTGACCACAAACCAGGACTCTCTTACTAATCAAAGGTGGTAAAAATTAAACCATGGTATATCACATTAACATTAATTTGTTGTCTGTATGAACATTTTTCGCAGGGAAGGTAAAGTGCCATGGTCACGTTTTTGTAAAATAAATCTTAAATATAATTTTTTTTTTCAAATATTGTAAACCTCATTTCAAACAGAGCCATCTATGCCATTCATCTCTGCATATTCTAAGAAACCCTTGGAATTCAAACACCAATGGGCGTCCTCGCTAGAGATAAGCAGGCATAATTTATTGGAGACACCATAGAGACGGCTGTCCCACATAACCTCATTGTTTACCTTAGAGCATTGTATTCCTCTACATTCATTAGGTTAGTTTTAAATGGAATTTAAATACGATACGTTGAAAAACGCGGATCTCTTAACATCAATAAGATCCCATGGAACCAAGTTTTTACTAGCGACGCTTGGTGAGAATTCCTTCAGCGAGGACACCCATTATCAGTTGACACATTCTATATTTTGACTTATCCTCAATCCCATAATAATAGGTTACTATTATAGTATTCCTAGCTCATTGTCTTTGGAATATAAATGATCTCTTCCTGATACTGTTGGCATGGTGATAAGTCTTGATCATCTTGATTATATAAAATTACCATAGATTAGCCTATTACCCAGGCTTGTTAAGATAGCAGACCAATGTGCACAATTGTAATACCCAGCATCTCTAATTTACTAATGTAAATAATGCATGTTTAATTGAAACTGATCAGATTGTAAATAGGGTCTGCTTTTATCAGGGTCTATAAACAATTACCAGTATCAGAAATAGATAAAACTCAATAGGCTTCCAGTACTTATGTCAGCGGCTAAGTGAGAGGGACACAATGACACGCTTTGTGTCATGGTTTTGAGTTTTTGCACCCCTCTTGAGTTTTTGCGCCCCATTGCAAATGGTAAAAATCAAGCGGTTTCAATGTGCTTTTCAACATCATTATCATAATCATAATGCTCAATCAGTGTCAAACATATACCATGGGTCAGATATGATACAAATCGACACTAGCATGTTCCACACAGCCCATCACCACTCGGCGGCACAGGGAGGGAGCCTCCACTTTCCCCACACACACATATAAATATTGTTTTTTTTTGGGGGGGGGGGGGCGGACGGGATTTTGTTCCTCATGTAAAATCATGGCTCACCATGCCTCTGACGTACGCAGATATATTTCAATATCTGAGAGACAAAAACTATAACACATACTTATGGAAGAACAATTACTGATTTATTTAGCCGACATTTGGAAGAGTATAGGTGACGCTTCAAAGAGTATTCTCTCAATACTCTTCGAAACGTCGCCTAAATAAATCAGTAATTGTTCTTCCATAAGTATGTGTTCAAGTTTATTGCTCTATCCAGTTACTAAATGTCTCTATCAGATCCTTATCTGAGAGACCTTTAGGGAAGTCACAAGAGATAACAGACCTTGTGACAGGGTATATTAACTTTATGTTATTAGCTAACATTGAAAATATTTTGTTAAAAATAAAAACTTAGGCTAGAAAAACATTTGATGTTGTACATTACAGTGGCATTTTTAAAGAAGCCATGAACATGTCCTTTGGGAAGACAACACACCTCCATCCACCATGGCCTCTTTAAAGCCAATTTGTGGACCATTTTCTGAGATCATGCATATACATGTACATCATTGGAATATTATTCTACATTACTACATTAGTCATTGAACAATCAAACGGAGTCTTTTAAAGCAGAAAATGCTAATAATTGAACTTAGTGATGGTTTTGATGTAGTGTATTGAAACTATACACCAAGTTTCATCACTCTCACTCTATCAGAATCAAAGTTGGTCCAAAGCATTGACCAATCTCATTACTTATCTCTGTTTAGTCTTAGTAGAAAATGCTAATCATCAAGACTATCACCTAATAAACATCTATACCTAGCTTGAACATTCTACCTCAATTAGAATAATAATAATAATATTATTGTATATTTATATCACGGTGGTTCCATCCACAAATTCATTTTCAAGGCGCCATCCATGTCTGTACACTTTAAACACTAGTTACTTGATCACAAGATATTCAACGTTAAACAGGTAGGTTTTCAAATTGCCTTTAAATGATTCGAGCAAACTTGAAGTTTCAAAACTATGTTGTAGAAAAAGAGTTATTGCATTCCAAAGTTATTGTGTCCCAAGGTATCAATCAATCAAATTTTTTTATCTCTGCTTCTAAATCTCATCATCACACTCATTAAAGGCATTCACCTAATAAACACATACACATATTAGCTTGATGTTTGAACATTCTCAGCGTGTTGCATGGCCGAATGGTTAGCCCGTGCACGCTGTATCATAAGGTGTCATTGAGTCAACTGGTGTGGTTTTGATTACCCGGTTGTACGTGTCAAGGAGTATGGTTGACTGTCCAACCTTGTGGTTTCCTCCCACTGCTAAAGACCCCTACGCGCAAGCGAATTACTGAAATGAAATTGAACCATGTGTTAGTCCCGAAATGACCTAGTTTGTGTTGAGTGGACGTAATACTCCATTTCTACCTCTCTGAACAGTTAGAAGCAGAATTACTGTGTCCAAAAAGTGTGACGGACAATTGGACAGACAAACATACAAACTCGAAAAGCAGGGTACAGAACTATTATTAGATTGTCTACTGAATAAATTTTAAATAAAAGCTGTTTTTTTACGGTATTAAATTGATATCTAAAGGGGGGCAACTGCTGTTTTAAACTGGCTATGGGTCTCATTGCAACATTTTTTAGCATACACGTACAGTTATTTTAAATATTATGGTACATTAAATTACACATAAATTGTTGGTTACTTTTAGAGACATTGAAATTAGAGACTTGAAAATTGACATCAATGATTGAAGTCATTACAAATAGTTAAAAGAGCCTGTATAATTCAGTTTAATTAAAGAGAAATTGTATTAAATTGATCGGACATTAGAGCATACAGTTGACATATTATCACCTTATAATGCATAATCATAAACAGGCAGTTAACAAACATTGTTAATGCTGGAATCAATCTGGTTAAAACACAGATACTATTTCGTTTCGTTTTTTATAGTTTAAAATTTCGTTTTACTTGTCTTTCCTACACTAGGATCTGGAAGAGTTGTTATCATTGACGTTTTCTGTATGGCATGAGTTGCACGGAATGCTGATTGGTTAATCAAATATCTAGTGTCATAGGGTCAAAAGCCGCTTGTATGACCTCTGATGCGACCTCACAAAACAACTGGTCAGATTTTCATGTAGTGTAGGTCATCGAATGATTGTATGTATAAAAAACGAAACGAAATATAGATCTGTATTTTAATCAGATTGTTCTGGAATCTAAGATCTATTTTAAATATAAGTATCTCATTGTTTTGTTTGTTTTTGTTTTCAAGAAAGCTCTATTTTAAGCAAGACAAAAAGCTGAGGCAGGTCATACACTTGTTGATTAAATCTTACATAGTAAACAAAAATTGTAATCAGCTTACAATCCTATGAACACATTATCTTCAAGTTCATTATCAAGCTGTGTAGAAAAAAAATTACAAAAAAATAACAATACATATATAGGCCTATATTATGTAGAGAGAAAAAATATACATGTATTATTAAAACATTTATGAAATATATGTGCAATTTCAAAACATGGCGATAAATAAATGTATTGAAAGACGAGTGGGTCAATAGGCATTATAAACAAGTTCTTATCTCCCTTGGACAAGTCTCCTGTATAGGAGGTAAATTAAGCTACCATACAAATGTATCGAGTTTAATGGCGCAATGCACAATTCCAAATGCTGCTAAATCAATGTTGACTTCAGTAAAATGTGACGTGTGATTGGAAGAGGGATATCAGCCTACCGATGTCAATGATTCGGTTTTGTAAGACTGGAAATCATGTGATAAGAAGAAAACTAAAAGATGGAGACTAGTACCCTGTTATAGGCCTATTAAAATGTATAACCTGCAAAAAAAAGAGCAATAACCAAATAGCTGTCTAGTGAGCATATAAAAAGCAGAAAGTGCTCAGCATAAAGCATAAAATTCTCCAGCCTTTATTTCTGACGGCCGATACCTGCTTTCTTGTAAAAAAATAAAAAGAGTGAGAGAGAGCGACAGATGTACTAGGATGACTTTAAAAAAAGAACAATATGACTATACGTGTAGACAGTGCATCTAAAGCCTACAGATGAAAGTAAAAAGTATGGCACTAAGAAAAGAAAACTGAAAAAGAGAAGACACTTGGAAGTATCATTACCCGTTTGGTGTGAAATCCTCGCTCCATAAGCTGCAAATATTGCTTTGGATTAGTTCTCAAAATAATCAAAGTGTTATGGATTTTATTTTCTAACAATTCAAACAACAATTAAAAATTCTAACTGCTTTAAATATATCCAGAATACATGTATGTAGCCTATAGTCATATAGAATTACATAAATATAAGGCATTCTGTTATAAAAGAACACATTTTAACATAGCAAGAGTTAATACAATATTATATAACATACTAAATTTAATTTCAAAGTGACCCAGAAATTATGTGAAAGGCATTTGGTTTTCTATATTTTTTTTTTGTCAATAATATATGGAATGGTCAAAGGATAGTACTCAAAAAGTCCAAGAAGTTCACTAGTTTGATGTATTTTGATAATGTGTGGTCAAAGGCCCGCTTTACATGTAGTGTACGCATTTCCGCGTGCGATTTTTTTTACAGAAAAGTCTCTTAAAGATTGGGGAATCCAACATAAATGACGTCATAAATAAGCATTTCTTTTTACAGCATGGATCCCGACATTGTTTACATTCAGTCACTGCCTTTTTATAATAACACCATATCTTAAAATTCTTCCCATTTATAAACTGAATTAGCAGCAACAAGAGCGATTGATTGACATAGCGGAAGTGAACCCATGTTTGTACGATGCGACAAATAAACCTGTGGTTTAAAATACAGTTTGTAGCCATCGCCAGAACAATAACTTCCTGGTTTACATTTCACGCAAGAACAAAAGCTACAAATAAGTCGCCCATCTCATCATGTTTACTTAGAGAAACTGTCCCATTACATCTGCATTAGACAGACTTTATCGCCGGCGGAAATGCGGAAATTGAAAGCGGGCCTAATTAATAAAGAATATTCCTTTTTTTGTATATAAATGACTGAATCACTTTATGTAAATATTGACATGCTGAAATGAAATGAATGTTATTAAACCTGAATTTATTTGTTGATAGTAATATATATTATAAATAAAACATGACATGCGTAGGCCTACCTTTAATATTGACTGAGCAGATTCATTTTCACTAGATTTATGCTGCTCTTCATCTTTTATTCGTTGAATCCATAATTCATAATTATCTTTCATGTTTTTAGTCAATAAACAGTTGACTTTTCTTGTTACTTTAGGAGTTTTCACAACCACTGTCCCTGAAACAATATAAACAACCATAATAATATAGAAATTTTAAAAACAACACACATTCCTTTATTATCATCTTAACTTGACAAGGTGCCATAACAATTTTTGGAACAGGAACTGGTCCCCAAGTGCTACCCATCTACTTGTTCTTGTTGGCAACGCTATTGAGAAGAAGGTGCCATGACATATTTTGGAACATGAACTCATTCCCAATTGCTACTATCTTCATTTATCTTCATCTATCATGTTCACAAATTTTTCCGGACACATAATAAATCTCTGTAGCAGAAAGTCCTAGAGTACTGAAAATCAACAGGATTCATCCTCTCTGATCCCTATGCTCTCTAAGGACTGAACAGACATACTTAGAATTCTCTGTGACATTATAAAATACTAGAAGTTTTTTTTAATTACCTGATTCTGAATCACATTCATCTTCTGTATCTTTATTATCTAGATCTCCTCTTTCTGTATCCGAAAAACCAGATACTATAATAAAAGATAATACAGAAAATGTTTAAAAGATAATACAGACAATGTTTAAAAGATAATACAAACAATGTTTAAATTGAAGTCAACACAGTGTATCTGTTTTATGAAAAGTGCCCCAGCAGCTGTTTTGGAAGGTGATCGGAAAAAAAGTGACAGGAAAAAAAATAACGGTCAAAAAGTAAGAGTTTTTGCTAGGAAAAAAGTTTTCAAATTTTCTTACAAACAAGCACTATTTTGTCACATCACAATATTCATTCATTGTCGGAGTACATAATTGTTCATGTGGTTTTATTGTTTGTTATCATAATCTTCTTTAATGACAAGATTATCAACATTGATCCTTAGATCATTCAAAGTTTTATATTTTAAATACTCAAAGAACGTTTTTTATAACTGTTCAAAGACTTGGTAACATACCAATGTGTTTATACACAACAATTTTTAAATCTGACAGTCAATTAGCTGTTTTTTGGTATAGTAAAATAATACATGATTTTTAAAATGTATGTAGAATTAAGGAAAGATATTATGATAACTTACTTTCACCATCACTCTCTTCTTCTACCCAGGTACCTGGTAACAGACCACCTGTTACCATGGCATTACATAATGGAGCTACTAAATGATTTATAAATGTTTCCTGTAATTTGGCTAATTGGGGACATTTTCTATCCATGTATGGTGAAATTGGCATTCCCCTTTCTGCTTCTTCATCACCCTAAAGAAAAATTGATTTTTTTTTAACAATTTGAAATTGAAGGTCCCGAATGACATACCTTTCTGCTGGTTCATGGACTTAATGTAATCATACAGGTGAGCATGGATATGAGGTTGACATTTGAAATTTTCTGACTATGTTCATGTATGGAAACGGAACCAAATTTTTCAGTTCATTGAATTTATTTTTCCAATGGATTAAATATGGACACAAAATTGAACATTTTCTGTCACTTTTGTACTTTATTCCTAAGAATTTAGTCATGTTTATCATTCAGTAGTTGTTATTTATGCGGTTAAGACATAAATAAACATATCTCACACTATAAATTATTGAATAAACTTTGTATACTTTTGAATTAGCAATCTCAACAATACAGAATTCACAGTTTCTAAAACTTGTACCTGTTCATAGAATTCTTCAGCTATCCGCCGAGTCCATTCAAAATGAAGATCTCTGGCCTTTCCCGGTCCATTTATATCCGCTATTTTTATTACCATCTGCATGACTAACATTCTATCGGTTTCCTGAGTCCAGTCGATACCTGGGGCTTCTTCACAATTTACCTACATACAAAATCATATCACATTTTAAAAACAACCAAATAAAATTTATTTAAATAATGCAAGTAATTATATCAACATATCCTTTCCATAAGTATAACACGAACCCGAATGTCAATATTACCTGCAGCAGGTAAATCTCACCATTAGTTATTACTTGCATTATTTAAAAAATTTATGAAGCTATTTCAGTGACCTTTAACCTTGCATGATCCTCGATTTGGACAGACTTCTTCCATTTATCTAACCTGATTTCATCAAGTACATGTATTAAAATGAAATTTTGAAAATTGTCACTGTCAGGGGCATTAACTCATTGATTGTTAACTAAGAATTCCAATAGGTCTTTTCCTTTTTGGGTACCTGAACCGTCACATTCACTTTTTTCCCTAATAAGTCTAATTCTCGGTTTCATTCAAGTCAGAGAACTAAAATCAGAAAACTTTTCATGTTAAAAATGTTCAAACTACAATGACATTTTACAGAATAACTTAATATTTACCTTAGCATTGAATTCTGCCAGAATTTCAAAATGTCTTTTTAAATCTGTTGCTATAATGGCCTCTATTACAAGAAATCTAAAGCGTTTAAATTCTACATTATCTAAACCACGTAAGAAATTATTTTTAGGATTTGTAAGTAAAACTCTCCAAGCAGCTGCTGCATGATGATTTTCTAGGACTGATCGATCATTGTATAATATAGCCTGAAAATAAAGACAAGTAAATATGTAAATAATAAACAGTTTAGAGAGAGGGAGAGATAAATGGGAAACGTCCACTTGACACAAACTAGGCCATTTCGGGACTAACATATGGTTTAATTTTATTTCAATAATTCGTAGGGGTCTTTAGCAGTGGGGGGAAACCGGAGGACCTGGAGAAAACCCACGAGGTTGGTCAGGCGACTCCTTGTCACGTACAACCGGGGATTCGAAACCACGAAAGTTGACTCAATGACAGGGCCTTATGATACAGCGCATACGTGCTAACCATTTGGCCATTCCCCCCCCCCTCACCCATTTAGAAAATAGTTGTTATTTACATAATGCCTCATTTATGGTACATTAACATGAAACTTGTCTTTGTATAGTTATCTTTCACAATAACTAGTGAACAATTGTTTTCAAGTATTGTTCACATTCCTTCAAAATATAATTGATTTCAAGCAAATTAGTATACATAATTTGGGGAATATTAAGCAATAAATGTGGAACATTAAAAAAACAATGTATTTCCAATTTACCAGCTGTTGATCTGTCTTTTGGTATGTTATCATGTGACATCACAAAGATGAAAAGACATTTAAACCTGTGATGGTAAAGGGAGGCTACTGCCGGAAATGAAAATTGCACTTGTAATGTTTAAGGGGATGCTCGATTGTCAGTCCAGAACATCCCAAATTGACGGAATTGTAAGTGGTATGAGTAGAATCGTGACGTAATTAAACACAACGAACACGATTCGATTGCCTAGTTGGTTGAGATATTTACTTATTCAGTCGACGCATGCGTTGTAACCCAAAATACTCCTTTTCACTCGATTGTCACTATTTTTGGGATTGAGAGAATTCAATTCCAGAATGTTCAATCGAGTACCCTTTAAGTCTATACCTCTCTTTGCTGCACAAAGTTAGTTCAAGTTTATATGAATGTTGATGTGATTGACAATGTATAATATATATTCACTGATCTGTACAAAAATATATGATATTAAAAAAAGTGTCACAATTTTAAAATGATATATGATTATCCATAAAATTGTGTTGTACCATTCAAAGATTAAATGTTAGATGATAATTGTGCACAAAAGTGGATATATTTTTTCAACCTATCAGTTGCTGCCACACCATCAAAATTCTTCACTGTATATTGTTTAAACCATGAAACTTACCTGTGTGGCATGAGTAGCTACCAGGAAGGCATTAGTACGACCTGGATGATCATAATCGTGCATGGCTGCTGCTGTATACAGTGCCATTAATTCAAGAGCAGGAAAATTACCACCCATAATACCATAACTATCATCAGCTGCAAAACTTGGTCGATGGGCAAAAGTAGAACGTTCGTGTGTTTCATTTTCTGAAGTAACATACAAGAATATATAACTTACAGGTTAAAGATAGGTTGCCAGGCAACAAAACATACGCCCACAGCAGCTAAATCGTCCGAGCAGTCATCAAGAGTTGTCGCATATTTATTCCTCTGTAGGTAATTGGGGGCCTTTACAAGACAGTTCCATACAGATCAGATTATAAATTTGGTCATTTGAGGGTTTACAAGGTTCTACAAACTGTAACAAGGGTCTCAACTCTGGAAGTAATCTACAGAAATTGTTGAAATTTGACAGGCTTTTTCGTTTTACTAATTTAAATAATGCATATAAATTTCATACAGATCACATGATCACTTTTGTCATTCAAACCTTCACAATCGCCATAACTCTAGAAATTATTGTTGGAAATTGCTGAAATTCAATAGACCTGTTTCACAAATTTAAATGATGCATATAAATTTCATACATATCGGATGATGACTATCATCAATCGAGCATTAACAAGGTTTAACAAAGTGAAACAAGGGCAATAACTCTAGACGGATTAACCGGAAATTGCTGAAATTCAATAGGCTTTTCCTTTTCACTAATCTAAATAATGCATATAAATTTCACAAAGAGCAAATGATAACTTTTGTCGTTGGAGCGTTCACAAGGTTCAATAAAGTGAAACAAGGGCCATAACTCTAGATGTAATAAACAGAAATTGCTGAAATTCAATAGGTTTCTTCGTTTCACTAATTTAAATAATGCATGTAAATTTCAGAAAGATCGGATGATAACTTTTGAGGTGAGAGCGTTCTTCACAAGGATCAATAAAGTGAAACAAGGGCCATAACTCTAGACGTAATAAACGGAAATTGCCGAAATTCAATAGGCTTCTTCGTTTCAGTAATCTAAATAATGCATATCAATTTCAGAAAGATCGGATGATAACTTTTGGCGTTAGAGCGTTCACAAGGTTCAATAAAGTGAAACAAGGGCCACAACTCTAGACGTAATAAACGGAAATTGCTGAAATTCAATAGGCTTCTTCGTTTCACTAATTTAAATAATGCATGTAAATTTCAGAAAGATCGGATGATAACTTTTGGAGTAGAGCGTTCACAAGGTTCAATAAAGTGAAACAAGGGCCATAACTCTAGACGTAATAAACAGAAATTGTTGAAATTCAATAGGCTTCTTCGTTTCACTAACTTAAATATTGTATATAAATTTCACAAAGATCGTATGTTAACTTTTGGCATTAGAGCGTTCACAAGGTTCAACAAAGTGAAACAAGGGCCCTAACTCTAGACGTAATAAACGGAAATTATTGAAATTAAATAGGCTTCTTCATCTCACTAATGTAAACAACATCTATCAATTTTAAAACAATTGGATGATAACTTTTGGCGTTAGAGCGTTCACAAGAAATTGTGGACGACGGACGGACGGGGGCGACGGCAATATACGTCCACATTTCAATGTGGGCGTATAAAAAGGGGTCATCAACATTATTTATTAAAATTGCAATGATGATGATATTTAAACAAATAATCAACATCCAAAGGATTGGTAAGAACTTACAAAAATTTATTTTAATACGATTTGAGATACATATAAATACAAGAAATTAAATGAAATAAAATGGGATTTAGCGCCCTACTGTTCTGCTACGACTGGGCTAATGAAGACAGACGCCATACAATGTCCTATGAGGGAAATTTTGCCAGGGCAGCAGCACTATGGCCTACTCTTTTATTAAATTCCAACTGCCAAGGGGTCTTTTACATGCAAGTCAATGTGTACACGGAACCTCGCTTTTTCATCCCATCCTAACGACTAGACAGCTGTCCTTTTTAGGCCCTCCGTCCTGAACCACTGACAAGGCGAAACCATGTCTGAAAATCGTGATGAACATATAAATACAATATTACCTGATTCACTAGATGAACCATGTCGAGACATTCCTTCTGTTGAATTGGATTGCATGAAACCTGGAATAGGCTGAGTTGTCAAGAAATACACACCATGTATTACATCTGTAGCATGTATTCTATTATGATCTAAAAAAACAAATACAGTACATTAAATACATAGGTGAGAACTACTTTAATTATTATGTATGGTGCAAGGTTCTTAAAACATTTTAAAACAAACTTGACAGGATAGGGTCACTAGCAGTAGTTGTCAACTTCAAGAAATACATGTAGCAAGCATTGCTTCACTTCCATTCCATTTAATAGAGAGAGAGAAATGGGGTTTAACGTCTACTCAACACAAACTAGGTCATTTTGGGACTAACATATGGTTCAATTTTATTTCACTAATTTGCATGGGCGTAAGTGTCTTCAACAGTGGACGGAAACTGGAGGACCCGGAGAAAACTCACAAGGATGGACAGGTGGCCTACTCCTTGTCACGTACAAGCGAAGAATCGAAACCACACCAATGACAGACCGTATGATACAGCGCACACATTAACCATTCGGCCATCCAAACCCTGTATTCCATTTAATACTAACAGACTTATTATTGGTGTGTAGTCATATTGTACTCTCAATAATAAGAATGTAAACTGTTACTCGATTTTACACATGCCAACCAGTACAAAAAATACTAATCCATAAAGTCTTTCTACATGTATCTGTCATTCAAACCACGTTAATCCTAGCTACCAAAGTGCTTTCTTTTGCTAGATAATAACCTAGCTGTCTTTTGTAATAAATCATGACAATTTCGTAAAGATAACTTTATCAAATTCCTGCACAAAACGACCTCATATTTTCTTCATCTTTTTCTTCACTCTACACATCACGGAATGTAGACCACGAAACTAAAACTGCAATGTGAAGACTAAAGGGGGATAACTGGCTTTTTCTAACACAGGTACAAAAAAGGTTCCCATAGAGCTACATGATTGACATACACCGCTAGAAATTAAATCCAATGACTACAGTACAGCACCAAATATTGATTCACCTATTCAATCTCTCTCTGTGGTGGAGAAATAACAAATTTTCCTAAGAGTTAAATGTCTTTATATTTTCAAATGGAATAAAATTTCCTACTGTAAAAGTTCCTGACTAATACTCAATACTTGGCAAATTTAACAATTACTGTTGCTCACAGAAAGAGAGAGAAAGAAATGGGGTTTAACGTCCACTTGACACAAACTAGGCCATTTCGGGACCAACACATGGTCCAATTTTATTTCAATAATTCTCTTGCGCGCAGGTGTCTTAAGCAGTGGGAGGAAACTGGAGGATCCTGACAAAACCCACGAGGTTGGACAGGCGACACTACTCCTTGTCACATACAACCTGGGAATCGAAACCCCGTTATTTGACCCAATGACAGCAGACCTTATGATACAGTTAACCATTCAACCATCCAACCCCCCTTGCTCACAGAAAATAAAAGCATAAAGCCGAAACAATTTTATTTAAACTAACAAGGCCTTACATTCATCTCTAATTATTCTTGAATATGGTATATGTTATACTTTAATATATTGGTAAACGAAAGCTGATTTGCAGGACAGATCCACATTTTTGTAAATCTAGATTTAGAGACTATGGAATGCTATATTAAAGATAGGTTCCCAGAAAAGTATTTATCGGGTTGTTATTTCCAGTAAAAGTATGGCAATTTTGGTACATATGGAAAGTAGAGATATCCAATCTTACTAGAAAAATACTGGATTCCCTGAAAAACACTCATGGAGCGTACACAGGACAATTGACAGCCCGACGATTAGGAATGTCTGCACGCGTAACGTCGAAGGTTGCATGTGAAGATTGAGCGCTTGGTGTGCATATTGATAAACTTTATGAAGAGTTAGTAGGGGTGATGATTTTCCGTTTCAGAAAATGGCATATTCCGTTTTAAGTATTTTTAATTCCGTTATTTTCCGTTTCAGAGCTGACCATATTCCGTTTTTTCGAGATAAAATGTTATTTTATGAATAAATTAATAATACATCTTAAAATGCCTTTTATTACAAAACGGACCATTTTAAACCAATGATAACAAATGTTGAATTGTGAATGACTTGTAATGTTCAATGACTAGTTATTCTTTAAACCAGTTTCCCGAATTAAATAACAGAAAATTACATCTTGTGAGCTCGTTTCATCTTTTTAGCAGACGAAGCCATTTTTCTCAGCTGCTAGGTGTAGTCGCGATTTATCCAGACATCTTCGTAGTTACTACCGTTTCTTCGAGAATAAGGGCTGGATTCACAAGGCTACGGTATATTTCTGATGTCACGTGGTTAAACACGAGTCACGAGCCCGGCAGTAAAATAAGAAGTAAATGAAACGATTTTTACTTTTATGAAGTGACAGAAGTTTTTTTTAAGACATATATATACATTACAATGTTTAATTCAAGTTAAACTACAGAGTAATTTTATAATGGGATACATGAAAGACGGGTTTTCGTTTCGATTAAAATTATGATTCCTAAATGATGAAATGAAAGTAGCGAAATACTAAAATAGACAGTAACAAAACCACGCGATATCATTCAATATTTCCGATTTTTATGAATAAAAAGATGAAATACTTGGATAACTGCAAAATTATTTTGAGTTTGTGTTTAGTATCAGCAAATATCGGCTTTTCCGTCTTTTTCCGTGTGAGATTTCAAATTCCGTTTTGAGTGGACAATTCCGCGATTTCCGCGTTTTTTCCGCGATCACGGAAAATCATCACCCCTAAGTTAGACATACAACACTTTTTGAGATCAAAATCACGGAAAAAAACGCGGGCAGTGGATAATCTGAGAACTTAATTAGGATTTGATATTTGTAAATAAATAGTCAGCGATTAAAGACAACATCGTCGTGTGTATACAATGAATTCTCCTCCGACTTCGCCCCCGTTGCTATGGGTACCGAGAGAGTAAGTCACGTGAAACAAACATGACCTCTTTTGATCAATTTTTATAGCAGGGTATTCCTTGGCAATTACAATGTTTTGAGAAGAATTTGAAGCAAAATAATGATAAATTGATTAGTTTGAATATGTTTTTAGTCCAAATATATCATCAAATCACCCAGTTTGTATGCAGGAATGTATCTTTAACAAATTTGCAATTAATGGAAATTTTTAAAATCACAACAATAAAATAAACCGTTTTGAATAACAATTAACATTTATATATTCCCCGACACATATCTAATGTATTTTAAATATTGTTTGATCATTTCTGATAAATATAAATGTTCTGCACTTTTAGAGATAACTGTCTGTTTTTTTCTCTCCAAAATGTGGCATGGTATTTTTGGCATTTTGATTGAATGAACTGTTATACTTACATGGTTTATCTCGATATCCCAATTCTAATGCATGGAAATAATTTATAAATTCTGCTATGGGTATTCGGAATGTTTCAAACAATCCAACTTCTGTAAATAATTTATATGCAACCTGAAATTGAAAGATTGGCATTATTTATAAACAAGATAACAAGGATATCATTATTCAATATAAATTAAAATAAATACCAATAAAAACATAATTTTTTATATAAATATACATTGACCTTCACCCTACTATCTACATATAATATTTTTGATGTATGTAAATATGTAAGTGGATAATAATAGAAAATAACAGGATATAATTTGGACATGTAGGTAATTTGACATGTTAATTAATATACAAAAACACCCAGTGACTTGGTATATGAATAAATCCCCATCATCAAATTATACAACTTTAACATCATATTCATATAACAATGGTGAGATCTGTGTCATATTAACGACATGTTCGTGTTTAACATAAAGTTTTGAAAATAATTTGCATTTTGTTGTGTAGGCTGAATGTGAAGTCAACCAATCCATTCACCATTGTGTACTCACCTTACTTAAAATAAAATCTTTCAAATTGTCCGATAATTGAAATATTGGGTAATCCCATTCATTTAATTTACTTATTTGAAGAAGGGGATGTTCCTCGACATCTGAGATATCAAATAAAAGTTTATTATCGGAGATGCTGCCATCTGTCTCATCTTTATCTTCTATACCCTGATCGCCGTCATCTTTATCATTGACATGTACCACTGTTTCCTGAAATAATATTCCAGCAAAATATGATGTAATAATACATGTGAAAATAATAAATTTTTGCAGTGCTTAATGCTTATACGTCTGATTTAAAACTAAGAAATAAATGTATTAACCTGATCCAAGATCTGGGTTTCTTAAAGTATATGAAATGAAATGGGGTTTAATGTCAAACTGTTCTGTTCCGACTGGGCTAATGAAGACGGGCGTAAGAACTATAGTATAATTACACAATGTCGGAATTGTGCATTCACTTACACCTGGCACATTTTTTTCACTGCATTAAAGTATCTGTAATTAGTGCAATTACATCCTGGCTGTTCGACAATTTAATTAATATTCAAATATAGCATGTGAATGAATGAATGGATTTATGTTGGAAAGTAATTTGCAATTGTTTGGTACGCAAGTTGGTCATGTACATTTAAAAACATTGAAGCATGTTTATTTGAATAATGATAAATGATAGTTTGTTTTTGACTGATAAAATCTTCCTACCTATACTAGCCGTGAAAATTGGAAAAGTGATAGTTTCATGTAAAAAAAAATCCAATAGGATTGTAAAAAAATTGGGTAGAAATGAAATGGGGTTTAACGTCCTACTGTTCTGCTCCTAACCTGGGCTAATGAAGACGGCAAATTGGGTAGTGCTTGATACAAATGTACATGTATGTCTAAGAATAGACCAATTTTCTGATTAGACCTTAATCTGATTAAGATACAGATCTATATTTTGTGTCGGTTTTTTTTTTTTTATACTTTCGATGGACTAAACTACATGAAGATCTGACCAGTTGTAGTGGAAGGTCGCATCAGGTGTCATACAACTCAATGACGTCAGATGTTTCTAATGGGTTACACACAGTTGATTAGACCGAATCCCACTCAAACACTGCTGTAATGAAAGTAAATTTCTGTTCCAAATTATGACTGGTCAATGATCCGATTAACAACCAATACCTAACTGCGTACCAATATCATTCGGGTTTAAACAAGAGCTCCAGCTGTTAACATAATGTTATGCTATGACTTACGAAATTTATTATGCTCAATTAACCAGTGCATAGCAGCATATTGCAGAAAAACTAATTGCATGACAAACAATGCTATCAAAACGGATACAATGCAAACAATACTGCTTGGAGACAAAAAATACTTTCGCCATTTTAAATCACTGTCCAAAGTTTTAGGGAAGATCCCAGATTAAACGAAGGACTGCCATGTTGCTGTACTTGGGATAGATTTGATTGAACGGGAAGACTGGACACACTCCCCCAAAAGCTCAAGTATCAGAAGTTAATCCAGCAATGGCCAGAGAGGATTTCTCAGGCCACTGCTTCAGGAATATGCATGGCATCAAGTGCTTGTGGGAAAATTTACCGGTATTAATGATACTTTATACAAGTCTTACCCTTTAAACTTTACTTCAAAATTTTTGACAGATATGGAGAAATATAGATACACAATTGAGAAAATAATTAAAATAACATACCTTTCTAGGAGGAGAGCCCACAAGATCTTCTGAGGTGGCAATATTATCACTATGATCACTACTGCTCGGTGAATCACTACTTTCATAATCTGATGTAATATGTAATCGTTTTGTAAGAGGTTTAGAGACAGCTTCTCTATCCTCCCCTTGTTCAAATTCAGGTGGGGCCATCGGCCGAACAGTTTTACTATCTAATTTCACTGGACTAAAACCAATGTCTGATGTGTTACCAACACTCTTGCGCGAATAACGTCTTTGGTGGGATTGGGAACTGGGAGTGGCAGCTAATGAAAATGACCTTGATTTAGGTATTGTTAGAACAACTGTTGTGTTGGAAATGGGAGAGGGACTATTGCTACGACTGCCATTAGGACTTGAACCTGGAGTTCCCTCTCTTGAATGTCGAAAGGAAGCACTGCGTATACGACATGGTTCCGGCTCTAATGTTGGCATACCCGTCGCTGAAGTGGTGGTTGTCCAAGTACTTGTCGACATCCTACGGATCAAACTTGGTGGCAAGCTTCGTCGCAGTCGCTGTAAATATACACATAAAATGATCAAGATTATAAATATCGATAGTCCCACATCGAAATGAAGCTTTTTAATACATTTATGCAATTATGTATTAATATGACACTGAAATAATGCATTATTAATCAAAGATTAAAATCTCATAGTTTCTAATAACAAGGGAATATGTGACATAATGCATCTACAGATTATTTGGAGTTAGTAATAATCATTTCCTTAAATACAAATCCTCAAAAATTGAAAATTTAATTTTGATAGCCACTTTCATTTGCGTACACCAGAAAATATTACTACCGATTATTTGGAGTTAGCAATAACATTTCCTTAAATAAAAATTCTCAAAAATTGTAAATTTAGTTTTGATAGCAGGTTCCATTTATGTACACCAGAAAAAATTACTATATGTTAGCCTAATACGGTATTGTCCGTCAACATGTTCGGGGGCTTGATAAGATCAACAAGACTTCTACCATTTACATTCATATGATTTACGTACCTTTGGCAGAGACGAGGGTCGTTCTCCTGTATAAGGACTCTCTTCTGAGTCGGAGCCATAAGAAGAAGACTCTGTTAAAGATACAAGTGGACTAACACGAGGTTTATGAATAGAAGCATGACTTTCAGGTGGTTTCAACAGATTACTGACAGCACGTAAACCACTGACAATATGTGGTGGTAAGTTAGAATCTGCCAGCATATCTGAGATCAACCCATGGGCCTCACCAATAATAGCAGATTCATAGCCAGCAGATGCACTCTGAAAAATATAAACAGACATAAACAATTAGTGTTTTTTATCATCAATTCCTTTCTTCTCTGATCAACATTTGTTTTGCTACCCACATTCGAATCTCATTTTAAATTCAATGATCAATGACATAGGTCTACATTTATTTCTGATGCACTTTATCAATAACTTGGCAAGCACCATTCAGAGTTCTTGATATTTCACATTTCACTTTCTGGTCACACTACCATTACTAATATAATATATTAGTTTTGAAAATACCTGTCAGGATCCAAAAGTATATTTTTGAAACTGGTAAGACCTCTTGATTTCAGTATAGAATGAAATAGAGAGAGAGAGAGAGAGAGAGAGACACACACACACACACAAACTAGGTCATTTCGGGACTAACATATGGTTTAATTTTATTTCAATAATTCGCTTGCGCGTAGGGGTCTTTAGCAGTGGGAGGAAACCGGAGGACCCGGAGAAAACCCACGTACAACCAGGGATTCGAAACTACGCCAGTTAACTCAATGACAGGCCTCGTGATACAGCGCACACATGCTAACCATTCGGCTATCCAACCCCCCAGAATGAAATGAAATGAAATGGGGTTTAACATCTGCTGTTCTGCTCTGACTGGGCTATTGAAGGTGGGCATACGCCATACAGTGTGCTACATGTTTAAAGGGAAATTTTGCCCAGTATGGCCTACTATTATATCAAATTCCAACTGCCAACAGTGATTTCAGTATAAAGGAATGAAATAGGTTTGCAACTTCTACCAAATGAAAAAAAAACAACAAAAGAAATCTTTTTAAAAGATCACTTCTTTCAAATAATGATGTAAATGTATTGTGTATTCAGTTAAAATATTTGAGTGCATATTCATGCTACTTTGACAGATGTTTAAGCATCTGAAAACTAGAAAACCAGATTGGTAAAGAAAAGTGGTCAAATGAATATGTTCCATTTTTCCATGGGTTAAAGACCTTACTGATCTCATCAAACGGCAAAATTCCCAATGCCATACACAATCAATGAGTATGGAAATCCTAAAATTGCCTGCGTCAAACCTAGTTACCTATGGTGATCAAATGTTTAGCATTGCTGCTCCAACTCTGTGGAATGACAAACAGTTCCATCAAAACTGCCAAAACATTACTTGACTTTAGGAAAACGTTAAAAACACACCCGTTTCAACAAGCTTATCTGGAGTGACATTAGAAGCGCTTAGAGCAAGCCTCGGCATGGAATAAGCGCTATATAAATAACTTTATTATTATTTACATCATTTCACTACATGTACAGTGTACCTTCATTTCTCCCATCAAAACCTGGTACATGTAACTCACTTTTTTTTATCAAAATTGAGTTAGGACCAAATTTGTAGTTACTAGGGTACATGTATGTGCTTCCTGTTGTTGTACTAGATATTCCAATCTTTTGATTTTGTAAGCAATTACACCCATGACACAACCTAGCTAGCAACATCCTTCATTTGCCTAGTATACCACAGCAAAACCTAGTAACTCAATAGTCAAATCAATGGATAAGCTGGGGTTTAATATTCATTCATTACGTTTTCTTTTGTTTTCTCAAAATAAGAAAAACGTGAGTTACTAAGTGTTGCCTTTTGACGGGAGATTTATAGTCTCATTCATGTATAAAATGTTTATAGAAACATGTTAAAACTTCTCAAGACAGACGGGAATCATTCAACAAGTGGACCAACAAAAAATGTTTGTTTTACCTCGCTTAAACTACGATGAAATGATCTGGGTTTACACCTTCTTCGAAGTTCAACCAGATCTAGATCATCTGGAGAAGCAGACATGTTGATATTTCTATTCACTGGTTTAGATTTCACAAAATACAATCACGTAAGTAAAAAATGTTGTTATAATTATATAACGGTACTGTGAAATGTCAGATCACAGATTCAAGAAACAAGAATCGAACTGTCTTTTTTATCAAATAAAAACAGATTTACGCTGTCCTCCATTTTCCAACTGCCAATCTGTCGTCTGCTCAGATGTGGTGATCACAGTTCCTTCTGATTTGAACACTCCACAAATTACAAACACCTTACTGTACAATCATGAGATATTTCAAGTCACATATAAGTATAAGATATATACATCCCAAAATTGCTACTTCTTTTTCCGATGTCTAGGAAACTTCAAAGCTTTCTACTAATTGCAGTTCAATGTTTGCGTTATAGTGAAATAAACAAGTAGTATGCTGCCTAATTAGGTTGCTTTCCACATATTGATCCGACTACCAAATCCGAAAATCCCTCTCTTAATACAACTCTGAATTTGAAAATCCTGCTGGCCTAAAATATTCCACAATGTCGCACTAACAGTAATTGTCAGCAGACAGAAAATAGGATTATTTAAGCTGTGTATCGCAAATGTACAAAGAATTTGAATTCGCTCTACCGAAAGTAATATCTATCCTTTTACTGGAATAAATGGGGTAAAACTGTTACTTGTCAACAGTGTACGTTACTGGTACATAATAAGCTTATTTCCATATGATATCTATTACACTCATCTCTAATAATATTATATGTAAATAAAAGATTTAAGGATAATGGAAGTCTATTTTATCAGGAATTATGGTTTTAAATCAACACACCAGAGATTTGAATAGAAAAGGTTAACTCTAACTGTGTAGAAGCCCTTGAAAAAAAAAATGATGAGTGTTAAAATCAATAGAAACCCCTTACAAGTATAAAGTTGAAAGCCTCAACACATAATAAATCATGTCATAATAGACATAAAACATGTAACCTATCAAACATGAAAACTTATAGGTTCTTCTTTACAAAATACAATCTAATTGAATCTTTCTACATTAAGCCAATTTTAATGTCAATCTCAAGTTTTTCTTGAGGGGTGGAAGAAATACATGTATGCCAAATGTACATCAAGATGTACACTATGTCAGCAATGACACGTTTCATGACACGGTTCACACCCTTATTCAAATATTTCACACCCATGAAATACTCCTTTTTCTTTTCAAATTTTCACATACTTTTTATTTTTTTTTTACCGATTTAACTAGATTTTAAACCAGAATATAGAATAAATCAATCAAGTTAAAAGACCTCTTAATAAATACATCATGGTCTCTCTCAATGATGTGATGGATTTATGTTATATAATCTGACATAGCTGATAGAGGACCCATAGATACGACAAGATTTTAGGCCAGAGGCAAGACTTTAATGCTCAAAACCTTCAGAGTCCGCTTTTTAATGATTTACCCCAACCCACCCCTCCCTGAAAAGAACATTAAAAGTAATTCACAAATCGTGACATGTGTATATCTCAACAGTCACTGAAATAAATGAAATGAAATGAAATGGGGTTTAACGTCCTACTGTTCTGTTCCGAACTGAGCTAATAAAGATGGGCACACGCCATACAGTGTGCTATGAGGGAAATTTTGCCAGGACAGCGGTACTATGGCCACTCTTATATCGAATTCCAACTGTCAAAGGATCTTTTACATGTACGCCAATGTGTTTTTCGTCCCATCTGAACGACTAGACAGCTGTTCTTCTCAGGTCACTAAAATAAGGAAGTATTTTAACCATAATTTAGTCTGTTCCGTGTGTAAACTGATTTCTAACCCTCATTTGAATAATATCATAGAATGCAGATCATTAATACCGACATTCAATACACCTGAAGAGGAACTGAATCCCTCCATTGAGGCAATTCACCACATGAACTAAAAATATAAATGTTACAGTACTCCAAGCAGGTTGTATTATTGGTTTGATTGGACTGCTTCAATCATCCCAGAGCTCTTCCAACCAGTACAGTGTGTTAATTAAACCCCGAAATAAATATCCCACGTCGTAGAGAGGCAGATTATTACCCAAAAAAATTGCCAATTTGTGGCAAACATGTCTTTACACTCTGCATAACAGGAAAACGTGTACAAATAATGAATTTATCTAGAACAAATACTGTTCATAATTCAAGCCAAATTTTAACAAGGAGAGTGCTTTTATAATTGGGTGCAGTACAATGAAGCATACATGTTTCATGAAATAAAATATAGCTTGCCAGCAATCAAACAACCGATTCTATCGACTATCTATTTCAAAACTAAATTGAACACTTTTATTATAAAGGTAATGAGATGGATTTTAACGTCCTACTTTTCTGCAATCACCTTCATTATAACAAAAGAATTCGACCTTCAGAAACAAACAAATTAGTTCCTGTAGCCACATTTTAACCTTTTTGAGACTTTTGCCAAAATTGTTTATTTTGTTAGTTTTTTGATAAGAGATTGTTATGCCTGTCCTAAAATTCAACAAGTTCTGACAGACGACACCCTAATTTAAAACGCAGGAACGTGTCGTCTAATATGTACACGTATTTGTGTAGTCACGATTATAATTTTATGAGCACTATTATTAGCACTAGCTTTAACAATTTTGTATTGTCAAGATACACTTTACCTCCCTATCGAACAAACTAAGCTTTTAGTTTTCTTCACTGAAATCTTAGATGACTATAAATTCAATTAAATTTTAGGTGGATCATTTAGGACAATGGAGAGAGGGAGAGAGAGAGAGAGAGAAATAGGGTTTAACATCCACTCAACTCAAACTAGGTCATTTTAGGACTAACATATGGTTCAATTTTATTTCAATAATTTGCCTGCGCGTAGGAGTCTTTAGCAGTGGGATGAAACCCGAGAAAATCTACAAGGTTGGACCCTACTCCTTGTCACGTACATGTACAACCAGGGAATCGAAACCCCGCCATTGACTCAATGACAGACCTTATGATACAGCACGCAAGCGCTAACCATTCGGCCATCCAACCCCTCTCAGGACAATAAATGATCTGTGAGAAATTTCAGATCCTTAGGCATTCCCTCAGATGCACACAAAACAATTTGACTTTTCTAATGAAATATGAACAAAACAAAGGATTTCAATCTTACCGTGGCCTCTTCCAAATCACATTGGATGTTTTTATTCGTTGTTAAAC